AGAGAGAGAGAGAGAGAGAGAGAGAGAGAGAGAGAGAGAGAGAGAGATATTCAGGGAGCAAACTCTCAAGCAGATATCTCCCATGGCAAGAAAGTTATAAATGGGAACTGACAGTAAAAATAATGCCCAACTTAGAGTCGCTGGGAATGTCAAATGAAACAACCGAGAAAGCGCCCAGCATGGTAATTGGGTCTGTTAAGTACCCAGCTGACGAGGCAATCTTGATTCGCCACCACTCCCCTGCCCACTTCATTCACATTTTGTGAGATTTCCACTATGCTGTGTTGACAGATGTCCAGACATTGATCCCGTACAGAAACTGAAGGCACTGTAGTGGTCTTAGTCGTGTTGTTTTGTTTCCTTATTTCTCTGTAAGTCAGGTATCTATGACCTACCATCTCCAGGCCAGTCAGATGGATATGGAACAAAGTTATTAATACAAAGTTTTATTCACAACCAGACTGCTAAGCCTAAGAGAGATCTTAGGTGCTCCTGTTCTTCTAGTTCCACTTCTGCTCAAGGTATTTTGAAAGAATCATAGCTCTATTTTTGAAGTTCAGTCCTGTCCCTCCCATCAACACTGTGGGCCCCTATGTGATACTGTGAACTTCTCTCCAGTTCTTCCCCCTGAGCTCCAGATGATCATTATCAGTTTTATTTTGCTACTGCAAAATAGACAGCAGTGAATACAAGATAAGCTTTCCTCCTTGGCTCCTTTAATACCATCTTTTTCTCCACTCAGTTGCATCTCCTGTGAGTGAACTAATAGGTGACAGGAGATGACAGCACGGACTTGCTTAGTCTGTAACCGAGATTGCAGAGAGGTTTCCTTTTGCTGAGGACACTTACACTAAGCTCATCCTCTTCCAAGAAGCAGGAATGTAAATCTTTCCAATCTACATACTCCATCCACTGCATGAGACTAGACTGTCAAGGAAAGCAGGGCCAGCCACTTTCACCCAGCATCTGACTGACTGAGTGTGTGCCTTTGATTCCTGGATTGTTAGTACAAGTAAAGCAGATAGTGTATGTCTTGGTTAGGGTTTCTATGACTGTGCAGAGATACCATGACCAAGGCAACTCTTATAAAGAAGAAAACATTTAATCAGGATGACTTACATTTTCAGAGGTTTAGTCCATTATCGTCATGGTTTGACAAGGTGGTGTGCAGGCAGACGTGGTGCGAGAGAAAGATCTGAGAGTCCTATATCTTGACTTGCAGGCAACAGGAAGTGGCCTGAGACATTGCGTATATCTTGAGCATAAGAGACCTCAAAGCCTGCCCCCACAGTGACACACTTCCTCCAACAAAGTCACACTTACCACTGCAAAGCCACACCTGCTAGTAGTGCCACTCCCAATGAACTTAGGGTGGTCAATTATATTCAAATACCACACTGTGTTTCACTAAAATTGACTTATATTTAAATTAATATTTGATATATTAGATGAGCTACAATTACCTCCCTTGAAATCTAAGATATTATAAATAATAATTGAAGCTCGTTTTGACTACTGGTTTTATTCCTGGCCCCTCGAACTTCCCAAAGTTAGTCCAATTCATCAGATCAGCATAAGGGTACCATGCATAGCTTCTAAACTGTCAGCAAATAATTCATTACAGTGTGAACAGCAGCACATCCTGATGGAGCTACTTGGGAGGGTGTCCTTTCAGGGCTGTTTGCTATGCAGCTGATCATAATGGAGGGAGTCTTTAGCAGTGAGTGTATTACCTCCGTAATGGAGTGCATGCTGCATGCTGGACACAGTGCTTTATACAGCTACTGTCGTTGGGTCATCATGTCTCACAGTCCTCTCCACATATGCATCTGCTGCACTTTTTTCAAACTTTCCACTGTGCGGCTATTTCACGGTTTTGTTTTTTCTCATCTTTTATCTTAAATCATTTCTGAATTGTCACTATTGTAAATGAAACATCCACAAATGTTTTGTTATGTGCTACATCAGGTTTTATGTGCTTTCTTAGATGACTAAAACAAAAATCACTGCCCTTCGCTTTGTGTCCACCTAGCTTAGTCTACCATAATGTCTGACTTGTAAGCAGCCTCAGGGGACTCTTTGAAGATGTACTTAAATGGGTCTAGCTCAGCAAACTTCTCTTGTCTTCGTTTTACTGGCTAGAAAGTCAATGTAGACTCTAAGTTAATGGGAATCTCCACTCCTGCATCAAAGTTCTTAATTCTAGAAAAGGCAGAAAAACACATCCAACTTCAATCACCATTCCTTTTCTTAATTTTTTTATTTAAAATGTTCTTTTTTATTTTATATTCCAACTACAGTTCCCTCCTCTCGCTCCTCTTCCTGCCCCCTCCCCACTTTCCTTCAGCCCAATTTCCTATTCACTCCTCAGAAAGGTTAAGGCCTTCCATGGGGAATCAACAAAGTCCTGTATATCAAGATTTGAGGCAGGACCAAGGCCTTCCTCCCTGTACCATGGCTAAGCAGGGCATCCCTTCTTAGGGAATGATCTCAAAAAAGCCAGTTCAAGCACTGAGAAGAAATCCTGGTCCCACTGCAAGTGGACCCACAGACTGCTCAAGCCACAGAATTGTCACCCACATTTAGAAGGCCCAGTTCAGTCCTATGCAGCTATCAGTCCAGAGTCAGTAAGCTCCCACTAGCTCGGGTCAGCTGTCTCTGTGGGTTTCCCTGTCATAACCTTGACCCCTTTGCTCATGTAATCCCTCCTCTCTCTCTTCGACTGGACTCCAAGATATCGTCCCAATGCTTAGCTGTGGATCTCTGCATCTGCTTCCATCAGTTACAGGATGAAGGTTCTATGATGATAATTAGGATGGTCATCAATCTGTCAATCACCATTCTTAAAATACACAGAAAACAGAATGTAAAATATCTCCAATACATACCACTTTCCTATCAACAATTAGAACCATGCCTTTTTACATTTTTCTCTCATATATTACATACTGATTGTAGTTTTCCCTCTCTCATCTCTCTCCAGTCTCTCTCCACCACCTCCCCTTTTTCCGTCTCCCCACAGATCCACCCTCTTTCCATCTCCCCACAGAAAAGAGCAGGCCTCCCAGGGAAATCAATCAAACATAGGCATTGCATGCAAGTATAAGGGCAGGCACATACCACCACATAAACGCAGGACAAGGCAACCCAGTAGAAAAAAATGTGTCCCCTAAGTAGGCAAAAGAGTGAGTAACTGCCCCCACTCCCACTTAAAGAAATTCTACAAGAACACCAAGTTACTCATCCATAACATATACGCAGAGGACCCAGATCAGACCTATACAGGCTCCCTGATTTCTGCTAGTCCCTATGAGTTCAGCTCAATTTATTCTATTCACCTTGTTCTCCTGGCATCCCTGACCCCTCTGGTTCCTAGCCTTCCTCTGCACAACTCCCCAAGCTCTGCCTAATGTTTGTGGGACTCTGCATCTGCTCCTATCAGTTGCTGGATGAAGTCTCTCTGGTGTCTTTAATGAAGATTCCACAGACCCAAAGAGGCTAAGTAATAAGGAAGGCAGAAGGGGGGCACACAAGGTTCTCCCTGGGAAGGGTAAATAGATGAGATTTTGTGGGTGGACTGAAGACAGGGGGGGTTGGAAACAGGAGGGATAGGGATAAATACTGAGTCAAACGACTGGAACGGGGCGGGGGGTGGCACTTCAGGGGCAAGGTGGAAACCTAGTGCAATGGAAACTCCATGGAATTTACGAGAGTAACCCCAGCAAAGACTCCCAGTAAGGGGTGACACAGAGCCCAAACCAACCATCTGTAACCAGGCAAGACTCAAGTGGAGGGATTGGGACACCAATCCAGCCTCAAAACCTTCAACCTACTGTGTGCCCTGCCTGCAGAGCATGCTGGACCAGAACCTAGCAAAGCCATGGGTTTTTCCAGCCAATCAAACTCAGCATTTCTTTTTCTGTAGTTCAAAAGTCTCCCTG